ATTTAATGAGTCACCACTTACCTACAACACCCGGTGCTCATCCCAACAAGTGCCCTCCTTAATGCCCACCGCCCGATTAGCCCAACCTCCCACCCAACACCCCTCCAGGAATCCTCAGTTTGTTCTCTGTATTTCAGTCTCTTAGGCTCCCGAAACTTCTCCTAGACCCGTCTCTGCATTTCTTGTAAAATCTAGTTTAAGCAGGAATTCTGCTAAGTCAGTCTAACGAGAACATACCCCCCCACCTCGATATCTGATTAGGTCCTTCATCCTCTACCAACCCCCCAGGTCAGAGGTGATGTCTGATCACCCTGGCCTGTCTTCAGCAGGGATCTTATTAGGTCCATTTAGCCAGAAGCCATCCACCGATCCCCATCCTGCTCCTCGGCTATAAATTCCCACTTGCCGATGGTGTATTCTGAATTGAGCCCGGTTCTGTGCCAGGGTCTCTTTTGCCCTAGTGCAGTAGTCCTGAATGAAATCTTACTATTTTTACTATGTAGCTCTGGCTTTTCTTTGACATTGTAGTCGTGCTGAGCCTGGCTCTCACTAAAGAGTATTAAACATGGTGGTTTAGAGTCCCGCTGACCTGCTTGATTAGCTCTTTGTCTCTCTCTATCCCTCAGGGCCTTAGTTTCCCATCAGTAAAAATGGGGATACTCCCTCTGAGAGCTTTTTAAGGATTAAATGAGGTCCCATCCAAAACGCATCCCACTGGGATGGCACTTAGCCTTGACTCAATATGGGCTCGGATCAGCGTGGGTGTCAGTATCACTGGCACTTCCTGTGTGTCCTTCGTAGGTCAGAGTAAGCAGTGTGTACCAGGTCCACGTGTTTCTTTGATTGTTTAATGCACTCGGTTCCCCAGCTCGCATTTCCTGAGGGACCTGAAACCATGAAACCACTGAAGAGCGGTGCGTGGAATGAGCACTCAGTTCCCAGCTTTGCTCCCCCGGCGCCCGTGGGACCTAGCTGGGGCGCCTGACCTCTGTGAGGCCGCCCCACCCCGCCTTTCTCCAGAGGGCCGTGGGAGGGAGCAAATGAAGTCATGGATGGGAAACCTCTTTGTGAACTTTAAGTTAATACAAACATAAGGGATTATTATTAAAAGCGACAAGTCCCCCATTGATTAGAGCATTTCTTTAGGAGGGAAAAAATAACACTGGGTCTTAAGTAGGACCCATATGGGAATGGGAAGCTCCCCGCCCTTCTGTGGGGAGGGGTGAAGTCTTTTAATACACCATTAGTGTTGTAGTTAATGTTGATAAAGCACCGGGATTGTTGCCATCATGGTCTTTTCCTTTATAATTGTATTCGCCTTGAAAACCACAAGTAGCAGTGAGTCCCAATGGTCATTATTTCATTTGAAAAACTAATTGGAAGTTGGGAGAGTCCTCAGTTTTTGTTTTTGTTGGGGTGGAGGAAAGAGATGAGCAGGTGGGTCTGGGGGAAGGCAGGGGCCTCGGGCTGGCCATGGTGAGCCCACCATTCAGCAGCCTCCTCCTTTGTTCTCCTTCCTTGGCAGGTTCTCGGCCTGCCTGCCTCTCTTGGTTGAAGTAGACTGCCAGCCCTCAATGGCCAGCCTTCTCCTCTGGAGGCGGCTTTTGTCCCCCATTGTTGGTATGGGCTCCTCAGCAGAGCCGCCACAGTGGTCCCCTGCAGAGCCTTTCCCACGCCTGACATTCTTTCTTGGAGGGAACAATGGGGGCTCTCAGGGAAAGCAGGTGGTCTAAACCCTGTGAAGAAGCAAGCTGGCTTTACAGTTCTGGTGCAGGGAGACAGGAGACCTGCCTGCCAGGCCCGAGGTCAGTGCTGGATGTCCCCCACTGCAGAATGGCTGGGAGTGGGGGATTGCTGGTCCCTGGGTCCCCATCAACTTCAAAATGCTGCGATTCTTCTTGTACTTTTAATCAAAACAGATGTCCCATCATCTGGACTTTTCATGTTGTTTTTTTTTGTTTTGTTTTGGTTTTTTACTTACAGCAAAATACACAAATTTTAAGTGTACAACTGATATCTAACTACACTGGTGTAACTATTGCTCAAAGCAAAATATAGAAAAATTTATCTCCCCGGAAAGTTGATGGACTCTAAGAGGCATGTGTAAGGTAGGTGATATGTGGGGGTATGTGGCCCAGGTGAAATGGTTCACAAATAGAAAAAGCTGAATAACCACTGACCTAGGTACCTGTGGTCAGTGGCTTCAGTACTTTGCTCCCCTTTACAGTAAAATCTCAAGGGAGCCTGGGTGGCTCAGTCAGTTAAGCATCTGATTTTGGCTCAGGTCATGATCTCAAGGTTCGTGGGTTTGAGCTCCGTGTCGGGCTCTGTGCTGACAGCTCAGAGTCTGGAGCCTTCTTTGGATTCTGTGTCTCCCTCTCTCTCTGCCCCTCCCTGACTTACTCTCTCTCTCCCTCTCTCTCTCTTTTAAAAATGAGTAAACATTAAAAAAATTTTTTTAAACCTCAAAAGAACTACCTCTTCCAGCACTACTTCATAGAGATATAATGCAAGCCACATATGTGATTTTTAAATTTTCTAGTAACCACCATAAAAACATTAAAAAAAAAAAAAAAGAGGAGCACCTGGTTCATTTACTCGGTGGAACATGGGACTCCTGGTATCAGGGTTGTGAGTTCAAGAGCCGCAGTGAGTGTAGATGTTACTTAAATAAATTAATAAATACATACATAAATAAAAATTTTTAAAGAATAAATTTTCTTTTTTAAAAATTTTAAAATGTTTACTTATTTTTGAGAGAGAGAGACAGAGTGCAAGTCGGGGAGGGGTAGAGAGATGGAGACACCGAATCCGAAGCAGGCTCCAGGTTCTGTGTACAGAGCCCGGTATGGGCCTCAAACTCATGAACCACGAGAGCATGACCTGAGCGGAAGTCAGACACTCAACTGACTGAGCCACCCAGGCGCCCCAGTTTTTGTTTTTTGTTTTTTTTAAAGAAAGATATTTAGAAAAAAAGTAAAAGAGAAACAGGTGAAATTAATTTTAATATCTTATTTAACCCAGTATATCTAAAACATTATTTAATGTATAACCAGTATAAAAAAACATAGTGGTATTTTGTATTCTGTTTTTTATACTGTCTTTGAAATCGGTGTCTATTTTACACTTACAGCCCATTTCAGCTTGTACTGGACACATTTCAAGTGTTCAGTAGCCACATATGGCTAATGGCTACCATATTGGACAGCCAGGCATGTAACTATCTGCTCTGATTCCTCCCCTACCATTTGCTCTTGAATCCACTCGAGTCAGACTTATGCCTCCACCACTGCACCTAATTTGTTCTTGCTAATGTCATCAGGGCTTCCATTATCCCTACCTTGGTCAATTCTCAACTGCCTTGACCCATCAGCAGCATTTGGTACACTAGGTTACTCCCTTCTTGAAACACTGTCTTCAGTTGGCTTCTAGAATTCCTCTCTTGTAGTTTTCTTGCTATCTCACTGCCTGCTCTTTCTTATTCTCCTGCACTAGCTCCTCATCTCTCTGCCAAACTTTAGATGTAGGGATGCCCTGGGGTCAGTCCTTGGACCTCTTCTCTATGCTTTCTGTTCTTCCTTGGTGATCTAACCTACTTTCAAGTTGGGTGATCTATCCCAACTTTCAAGACCATATAAATGGTAATGGCTGCCAAACCAAACCAGCTGCCCAGACCTCCCTCCTGACTCCAGACTTGTATATCCAGGTGCCTATTTAACATCCTCCCTTGTACTGTCAAGAGGCATCTCAGACTCAACAGATCCAAACCCAAACACCTAATTCTGCCCCCAGCTTCTAATTCTCCTTCCCAAAGCTCCTAAATGGCAACTCCATCCTTCCAGTGACTCAGGCCAAAAACTTTGGAGTCATTCTTGACTTCATTCCAATCCCCACACCCTATCCATCAGCAAATTAGTACTCCCCTAAGAAAGTATCCAAAATTTGACCCTCTCTCAGAGTGACTTTAAATTCAGGTCAGATCATGTAATTCTTCTGCTTAAATTCAGTGACAGCTCCCATTTCGCCAAGAGTGAGATCCCAAGGCCTTACCATGGCCTCTGAAGATCCCCACAAGCTGTCCACCAACTCTCTTTCAGCCTCTTCTCCTTCCACTCACACCCCTACGATATTCTGGCTAGCCACACCGACCTCCTTGTTCTTTCTCCTTCCATGCTCTTGCCTTACGACCTTGGTGTTGGGTTTTCACTCTGCTTGGAATGTTCTTTACCCAGATATGCACAAAGCCAACCTCCTCTCTTCCTTTAGCCCTTAACTCAAAATGTCACCCCCTCGTTGAGGCCTTCCCTGACCACAGCACAGCACAAGTGTGGATTCTAGATACAGAAATGCCCTTCCACACTCTTCAACCCCTTAAATGTTTCTCCTCTGCAACTGCCACCATCTAACATTTCTTTATTTACTTCTTTTTATTATTCTTCCCCCTCATTAGAATATAAGGTCTAGGAGACCAGGTACTTTGCCTGTTTGCTCACAGTTGTATTCCCAGTGCCTAGAACCATGCCTGGCACATAGTGGGTACTCTACAAATATTTGTTGAGTGAGTAAATGATATTGCTCATGGATGAACAAGTCACCAGTGGATGAAGGATAACTGGCCCAGAGTGGAGGGATGTGGTTTAGAGCCTGGTTCTGAACTGGCCTGCCTGTGTTTGAATTTCTGTGCTCTCACTCATCAGCAGTGACCTTGGCAGTTGAGTTACCTTTTCTGTGCCCCAGGGCTTTGTCTGTGAGATAAGGATATTGATACCTCCCATTAGGCTGTGTGAGGAGCATATGAGATTCAATGCATGAAGCTTCCCGGCTGGCACTGCACGTACTTGGTAAATGTTAGCTATTTCTGTAGAATACCTTGTAATACCTCTTTGGGAGATGTAACTGTATAAAACACGTAAAAAATTAGGCAGAAGATAAAAGGAAATTGAGATGCAGAACAGTATGGGGGAATTTTATTGTATTTATGAAGGAAAAAGTAGGTCAGAAATTAAATAGGATTAACTGGATGCAGTTGTGTTTTGGCTGCAGGTAGCATAAAACACTGGTGGGATCTTCATCCTTGGGAATTCCTGTTGCAGAAAGAAAGATAAAGTTCAACTAGGGAGACCGGAGCAAGGGGGAGTTTGGGCAAGACACCAGGAAGGAGGGTGACAGGTGCTCCCATGTCAAGACTAGCCGTTGGGGTTCTGGAAGAGGCAATGTGGGATGAAGGGAAGGATCCCCCTGGGTTCCAGCACCGCGAAAGTCAGTCTCAGCTCCAGCTCTGCTAGCCCGCTCCCACGGAGATCCTGGGCCAGTTACTTCCTCTTGAAGTAGCCACCTCTAATCCCCAGACAGGGTTAGATCAGGTTCTTCCTTCTGGCACGTACGTTCAACCACACCCCTTATGTCTCTTACCATTTATCACAGATTAAATAATCCACTGTTTGGGTACTTGCTTAACTTCTGTCTGCCTCAGCACGTCAGTGAATTCCACAAGAGCAGGGGCCACTGTTGTCCTATTCACTGCTGTACCCTCAGCCCGGAGCCTAGAGTGTAGTAGTCATGGGATGACTTTTGCAGGGAGAGGACAGATAATTCTGAATCTCGGTTTCCTCACAGGGCCATTAGATGGTCATAAAGTATGGTGGTTGCACAGATATGCCATCTTCCAAGTCATTCTACCCTGAGGTCTAAGAATTCATTCTTCTGTTCCGTGTCCTCAGGCCCACCGGGAGGTCCTGGGATTTGCAACCCTTAAGCTGGAGGGAGTTGAGCCACCCAAGTGCCCCAAGGAGAGCAATGTCTGAAGCAGCCTCCAGGCCCCTTCCTGCCTGCTCTGTGACTTTGAGCTCTGCGACTGTCCCTGGCTTTTAACCTGCAGGAACACAACCAGAATTCTTAGGACTTGGCCCTCGTTGGGGCCACTCTACCCTATCCCACTGGAGCCTGGCGGGAGCCCTAAAGCAGGTGATTGATGACCTAATCCCAGCGTGGGCTGCTTGGGGGAAACACTATTCTTCGAATTCTAGTCTTAGGGTCCTTTGAGGTGATTGGAGCCCTTCCTCCCTTCACAAAGGGGGGAACAAGGAAGGCAACTTGCTGTGTGTGTTTCCCAAGCTGGTTCTCGCCCCTCCTGTAGCCTGCCCATCTGCCTGCTGCTCGTGTCTCCACAGGACTGTGGTTGGTGAGATCTCTGGGCTCTTGGTGTCTAATTAGGCTGGGAAGAAGGTGAGGGAGCACACGGAGAGCTCTGCTGGGAATGGATTTGCTTAATAGGCTTGTCCAGAAGTGACCGGCAGAGCCATGCTGGGACATGTTTGTGCTCACAGTTAAAATCAGGCTCAAAAATACAACAGAATCTCTCCGCAAACAATTGTGTCATCCCTGGGGACCATGTCTGTGAATGGAACTCTGTGTGAAGAAGGGAAGCCAACGGGTCTTGGATATGGCCTGCCAGTCCCTGACTTGGGGCCAACTGCTGCCCCTCTTTCCTTCAGTTTCCCTCCTCTGCAAGCTGAGAGCACTCCCTGACCTTCCCTGATACCCAGGGGAACACAAGCATCCCAGTTTGCTTGGCAGAGCCCCGTGCCTTTGGAGAGGAGGAGATTCTTTCTTTTTCCTGGCAACCCATGGGGAAGGAAGCCTGTGAGTTCCCTGACTACACACACACACACACACGCACACACACACGCACACACACACGCACACACATTCCTACCTGTGCTGCTGCAGCAGGGCCACCAGAATGCTGTCCAATGCCATCTGCTTCTGGCCTGCCCACACGCTGTCCACCTGACGACTAAGCCGTACCTTTGCTCCTTGCTCCTGGTTTCTCTCTCTGTTAGATTAGAAAAAGAGCAGCAGTTGAGGCTGCTATTCGAGTAGGGTGTGGAGAAGCCTGGGAAAGGCCAGGGCAAGTAAGCAGAACAGGTGTGTCCTTATACCCATTCCAATGTCTGGCGTGGACTCTTCCACCCAACTGAATTAGAGTCAGCAACACTTAGGAAGTCACTTGATCTAGTAGTGAAGAGGATAGGCTGTGAAATACAGATTTACAAATTACCTCCCCAAAGATTGCTTATTAATTATAAAGGGACAATGTTAACTTTACAGAGGAGAAACCTGGCAGACGTCATGTTAACTATGTGATTAAAGTTACCATCACCAGTAATGGGACAAATCGACATCATGTGCCTCCAGATATAATGCACCAAGAAGGAACAATATCACTGTTATGAATGCATAACCTGAATCTAATCATGAGGAAGTATCAGACAAACCCAATATGAGAGATGTAGGGATGCTCTATAAATAATATTTAACCTTGACTAAAAAAAAAGTCAATGTCATGATAGACTGAAGAACAGTTCCAGACTAAAAGAAGCTAAAGAGACATGACAATTAAATGCAATCCATACTGGATCCTGGATCAGGAAAATTAAAAATCGCTATAAAGGACATTTTGGGAAAACTGGTGAAATGTGAATGTATACACTAAGTGATACTTACACTATGATTATATCAGAGAATGTTCTGTTGTAGCTGTTCAGAAACATTGTGCAGAGCTATTTAAGGGCAAACGGTTGTGATGACCACAGTTAACTCTCAAATGGTTCAACAACGTAATAACAAAGTGTACATGCTTTTGTGCACGTGTGTAAGCAAATATGATAAAATATCAGTAATTGCTGAAGATAGAGAAAGTGGATGTGGAAGTCCACTGTTGCAGCTTTTCTGTATGTGCCAAACTTTTTCAAAATAAAAATGTACAGGCTTTGATGTAGGCTCTTTGGATCCTAGCTCCCTGGTGTGTGTCCTTTTGAAGCTATTAACTGCCCTGTCAGATGGGAGTAAACAGTACCTGCTTTGTACCAAGAGCAATGGCTAATACTACCAAGGGCTCCTTGTGAGCCCAGCATTGTCCTGAATGTATGTAAATGTCCCAGGGCAGAGCCTCTGTGTCCAGCACAGAACCACGATCAGATGGTAACTATTGATGTTATTACTGCTGGAGCCTAACATGGGGAGAAGCACATAGTTGGTGTCCAACAATCATATTCATAATTAGAGGTAAGCTGGGGCTGTGCATGAGGACCTTTCTGCTATGGCAAATCCAGAAATGAAGATGCTGTGTCAGGTAAGGGACCAAAAGTCCCTCCCAACTCTGATGCTTAGAAGCATGGAAAAACAGTCGCTAGAATTTCTGCTTACCCCTGCTGCCTGCTCATGATGTCCTGCAGTAGCTTGCGGGCAGACAGCTGGCCCAGCACCTTCCGGTAGCTGTTGGTGAAGATGGCGTCTGCATAGCGAGGTGTTCTATAGGGAAGGAGTCAGAGGTCAAAGGGCCGGGTGGCAGGGCCAGGGGAGGAAACAGGGGTGGGGTGGGGGGACCCGCCATGTCTCTGTAACATCCTTCTGCCCTTTGCCCTACTCAGCCCCAGAGAGGGTAGGACCCAGGGTGGGGAGGCTTCTCCGGGACTCAAGATCTGCCCCCCTCCCCAAGATAGGCAGTGGGGGCCGCCTGAGGAGATGGCTGGGGGCCAGCTTAGGGCTCTACTCTGCATGTCCTAAATCATCCCCCACCGGGTTGCAGGGATGGTTTGGGGACATTGAGTATCTAGGCCCTGGCAGCAGGAGTGCTCACCTGAGGGGCAGGGGTGGCGGGGAGCAGTGGGAGCCACTGCCGAGGGTGAGGATCAACAGGAAGAACACCCAGAGCGGCATCCTTCACCCCTGCGGTAGCTCCTGGAAAACGACAGAAGGAGAAGGTCAACGGGAGCCATAGCCACAAGGACGCGCTTTGCTGGCTGGGCCCAGCCCTGGGCTTGGCTCTATGCAAGCCTTATTCCTTGTCGTTTGGAAGTGGTGAGGTAGGAAAAAGAACCCAGACTCTGGAAGTTAGACAGACCTACGTTCAAGTCCTGCTTTTGCCAGTCACAAGCTTTGACGTCATTTTCTGCATCTGTAAAATGGGCATGATAAGCTACCCTGCTGACCCCATTGGGTTGAATGGAAAATCAATGATACTGGTGAAACTGCCCCTTGATGTGAGGCATTATACGTGGGATTCAGGCCTCAGCAAGGGTTGGGGGGTGCTTTCCCCTTATCTCCTAAATTACCCCACCCACTGTGGCACTTGACCGCAGTGAGCAGGGCCAACAGCTCAGGCTCTGAGTCAGACAAACCTCAGTTCATATCTGGGCTCCACCATCACCAGCTGTGTGTGTCCCGGGACACGGGGCTTCTCCTTTCTGGGCCTCAGTTTCCCTAACCATAAAATGGGGTCTATGACTATACTGACTGCATAAGGTCCTTGTGAAGCTGAGACGAGATGAGAGTCGCTTGGCACATAGAAATTCTCCCGAATATTTTTGTTGCAATGACCTCAGACCAGACCCTCTGGAGGGGGCGGGCTCTCATCCTGTTTGATTCTGTGTGAAGTCAGAGCAAAGGGAAAGCTATACTTCCCGCTCCAAACATTTCGATTTCGCTGAAGGGTTTTAGCCTTGGAAGAGACCAGGGAGCCTGGGGAGCCAGTGCGGCAGAATCATCTAATAGATCATGTAATTACCCTTAATTGGGGCCTGCTGACACCGTGCTCTGCAATTAGGGGAAGAGCAGGCAATGCGAGAAAGAGCCCGCCTCGGCGGGGGAGGAGACTTCACGGTCAACCCGGATCTGCCCAGTGTGGAAGCAGGGGTGACTCAACTACCTAGGAATTGGGTCTCCCCACCTCTTCTGCCACCCTCAATAGAATATCCATTCCATGGGCTACAGGCCCCTGCAGGGATGCAGCCAGCCCAGAGACGGGCAGGAACCCATCCGAGCCCAACCTCACCCCTGTCTTCCATGCTCTCTCCTGTCCTGTTGAAGAGTGGTTTCCAGCAGGCTGGGTCAGCACTGGGGCATCGCCTCCTTCTACCAGACACCAGGGTCTTGACTAACCCAGGGAGCATCTGCAGAGGTGGCTCAGAGCAACTTGAGACTCTGCACCTCCAGAGCAGGAGGGAACAGCCCTCCAGGCCTCCAGGCCTCGCTCCCCGGACCAACAATCCTCCAGGTCCTGTTCAAATACTCTCTGCTGATGAGTGACAGGGACCTCACTACCTCCAAGCCAGGATGTGCTATTTCCGGGCAGCTCCTCTTGTTAGGAAGTTTTTCTCATCGTGTCAAGTGCAAAAAGGCGTGTTAAGCTTCTACTCTTCCGGTAAGGACTGGGGCTAGAGGAAAGAAGAGAACGGGGCATCTGCCCACCCCTCGCTCACCCCGGCTTTGACATCCACCTGCTGTGCCACTCACAGCTTCTGCACCTTCACCCACATGACAAAGTTTTCCATCTGATTTAGGCCTTTGTTCTCCAGACAAAAGATTTCAGTCTTCTGCCCTTTTCACCATATCACATCTGGCCCCCCTTCTCCCGGTCCGGTTCCAGGCTGCCTCTCTAGCAATGGAATTTCCTAAGCAGGGAGTTCTTTGAAGGTTAGGGAGGCCCGTTAACATAAGCCCTCTTTTTTCTCTCTCCTGGCTGGACTTTCTTGCCTTCTTTGCTGCTGATCTTTAAATTAAAAAAAAAAAAAAATGTCTTTTTGAGAGAGAGAGAGAGAGAGCAGGGGAGGGGCAGAGAGAGGGAGATAGAATCCTAAGCAGACTCCACACCATCAGCGTAGAGCCTGACACGGGGTTTGAATCCATGACTGTGAGATCATGACCTGAGCTGAAACTCAACTGACTGAGCCATCCAGGTGCCCACTGCTGATCTTTTAAAGACCTGGGCACATCCAGGCCCCTAATCACTTCATTCCCCCTGCTCAGAGCCCTTGGTTGCCCACTCCCTCTAGAGCAAAGCTCAAACCCCTGCTCTTGGAGAAATTCTCCCTTGGCTTCCCCACCTCCTGCCCCTTCTCCTTCATCCCACAGCCCCTGTGCTCCCCTGGCCTGCACAGCCCACCCTCTCACCAGCCCTCTGGAGCAGGTATCACGGTCTTCATTTTACAGCTGAGGAAATGAGTCCAGAGAGGAGGAGGAGGACCTTTTTTCCATGGTCCTCCATCAAATTGGTTTCTGAGTGGGCACTTCAGAACAGGCCTCAAAGTTCCCAGGCCCGCTCTTTGAGGCAGCCCCCCAGATACAATACCCTATTCACAGCGCTCCCCATTCAACTCCCTATTCATGGGCGGGCGCTGCAGAAGTCATCACCTGCACATGGGAAGCGGTTCTGAAACACGGAGAGCGTTTGCTCTTTGTCACTGGGTCTCCAGGGAAATAAAAAAAAGGGACACAAACAGGAATGCCTGCTCGGTTGGCGCCTTCCTATGCACATTCAGTGGTTTGCGGGAGTTGAAAATAACCTGATACGAGGGCAGACTTTGGAGGGCAAGTAAATTCTGTAACCCTTAGCTTATTTGGAATGAGGCTGAGCAACTGTATAGTCTGGTCAACCAGGATGCACAACATTTGCTGCAAACCGTGTGCCCCAGAGATGGCTCAAGGCACCATTGCAACCTCTAGGCTGAGAGAGCCTAATCCATGGGGTTGCAAACTTCCACTGGACAAAGTTGGGAAATGACTCTCAAAGAATTCTCTCTATGGTCCGATGAGAATAGAGGTTGTATCGCCAAGGATAAAATAACTATGGACAGACACATTCCATGCGAGCAGTCTACAGAGACAGAATTCCACTGAATTAAGCGTACTACAAATCTAACAGCATTCTCAACAACTGCTTGAGAGTTCCAAAGATACTTTAAGGTTTATCATCTATCCTAATGAGTATCAGTTAGCTTTCTGCAGTGTCGACAAGTGAATTCTCAGATCTAATTGAGGTCATCTGGATTCAGGGCAAATGGACACCTGATCTACATTAGTTGGCACCTCTTGCCAGCCTCTATGACAAGAATGCCATGAGAATTTTCCAGATGCACTTCGGCTAATGACAGAGGTCAGGTCTCAAGTGCCCAAACTAGCAAGGCCACTTTTGAACACCTACGAAGAAAATCTTTTACCTTTTTTAAGTGTATTTATTTACTTTGAGAGAGAGAGAGAGAAAGAGCGAGCAGGGGAGAGGCAGAGAGAGAGGGAGAGAGAGAATCTTAAGCATATTCTGCCCTGAGAGCACAGAGCCCCGATATGGGGCTCCAACTCCAGGAACCTGAGCCAAAACCAAGAGTCAGAGGCTTAAGCAACATAGTCACCCAGGTGCCCCTCTTTTACCGTTCTTAAACATTCTGCTTTGTCATTTAAGAACGCTGAAGTACTGACGTCCCAAGGCAGTTTGTAAACTGTTTCAGCAGTAGCATTCCACATTGAAAGAGATCTAAGTTTTTAATGAGGAAGTGTCTTGAATTGTCACTCAAAAGAGGGGCACTCCGCCTCCTTCCTGAAATGGTTTGAGGCAGTTTATGGTGAAAGACACAAACACTTTGGGATCGTCAAAGCATGGATCAAGAGACAAGCTTGGGGGTAGTGGAGTGTTCCAGGGGCAGATAATTGCATCTGAAACCTCGAGTAAGGAGCGCGGCTGCAACTGAGCAAGAAAGCAAAATGTTATCAGTTTCCAGGCAATTATGTTGAATGGATTCGGAGCGAGAGATGGGCGGTATTGATTTGCACAGCCACTTGGCTCCTTCCCAATCCATGGCAGAACCCCACTGCTGCTGGGAGGATCTAGCCAGCTCACGTCTTGCCCCAGATGCCTGCCTGTACCCCCTGGAAGGAGCTCTGAGACTTCGTCCGTCCCCTGACAGACCCCTGGAACACATCTGTCTGCCTGCCCCTTCTCCACCGTTGAGGTGCACTGTATCCAAGACAACCTCAACATGGTGTCAACCATCAAAAGCTTGTTCCAGAGCCCCTAACCAGGGGCCTGAATATACTCACTAGTCCACAGGCGACGAGGATGATGGTGGGCCTCTTTGACTTGGTGTCTCTGAGTTGGTGAGAAGGTCAACCGTCTTGCCCCCATCCAGCCCAGCCCCCAGGACCATCCTCTCTCACCTCTGATATGGCAGATGTCCCCTCTGCTATGAGGCGCTGCTCCAGCTGCCTGGACCTGGGGCTCGGCGTTTGCTCGGCGGCTGCGTGGCACTCCCATCATTTATACCTTCATTTTCCTAAGCGTCGCCAGCGTCAGAGAATCAATTACCCACAAGTCAACCAAAGGACCGTTTTTAGCATCACATTGACAACCCCTAATAGGGGAAAGAGATTTTCCCCCTTGCAGTTGAAGACCCATATGGAACTTTCCCTTTATGGGCAGAGCACCAAGTCATGATATTATTCCGAGGGGAATAGAGAAGTAATGCTGCTTCTCCAGTAATTGGAGTAATCATAACAGTGAAACACCAAAGGTTCATTTACTCTCAGAGTTAAATGTGCCTTTTAAAAAGTTGATATAATTTTGTTTTTTCCGTGTGCGACTTTATCTCACTTTCAGGTAGTCCACTTATTACAGATGAGTGTTTTTCTCTCCTTAGCGCGATGTTCTATGCTATCTCTCTTGTCCAATTATCAAGATTTCCCCTCCTCGATTTACATCTGTTGCGGTCACAGGCCAGGAGCGTAGACAGCTAGCCCGGGGAGCACCTGTTCTCATGTGTCAGGGCAGCCATACACGGAAGGAGATGGAAAACCTTGGGAGGGTTGTTGTGTTTCCAGATTTTACTAGCCTGTAGCTAAAGAATCTTCTAGAATGGCCTAAAAGCCTGTGAGTCAGAAACGCCGGTTTC